CGGTTCTGCTGTTTTAGAACAGTCATGAGAAGAAAGATGTGTGGCTTAATTTTATTTTTATTTAATTTTATTTTTGATGGCAATGTTCTGGCAATATTAACAAAGAAAGTTGTAGTTTGTGTAAATAATTTCACCATGAACTACTTTGGAAAAATAATACCAGCAGTATTTCCCCAAGAACTTTCTACTGAAAGTAAACTTCTGGTGGAGGGCGGAGTTAACGTAAGCAAAAGGTTGGGAGAGGGTTTCCATAGCAACTTATGCAAAACAGCACGTTCTGAAGAGAGCTCAGAACAAACAGATGACAATTTAGTTCAGCTCTAACCTGCTGGTTTCTGAGGGGAAACTCGCTCTCGCCGTGCCGTAGACTTCTGTAGTACATCCATTCTTTTATCAAACTGTCTTGGGTTGAACCAGACTGTTCTATTTCGGCCTCCTTGCGAAAATAATACGTAGCTGAGGCTGACTGATCTCTGTAAGGAGAGAGAAGCAAATGTATATAAAAAAATGCAATAAAAAATAATAGTTTTCAGATGTTTCAGCTGAAAACAGCGTTTTAAGTTTTCAGCTGACATAGCTTCCTAAGAAAGTGTTGGTTTTAGCTAAATTTACTGACACATCCTGTTTTGTGTGAAAACAAAGATCAGTTATGAGAACCACATTTTGGTTACAGGCGGTAAGTCTGAGACAAGATGATTCAGCCTGTACTGGTGGCCGGATTGATAGTTTCACTTCGACCTGGGAAGCCAGCTATTACAGAGCTGAACAACATGACTCACATGTCGTTTATGTTGCTGAAACTGATACCACAGTCGACGTGACCAGCGGCAGGCAACACACGGCCTTTCTGCTCATCTCCATACGTTCCCCTTGTGTCTACACTGAAAAGAAATGTGATGACCTGGTTCGTACCATTGTCTGCGCAGCCTTTCTACTCCTACTCCACGAATAAACAGATAGCCACTCGCAACTGAGATAGACCTCTGGTTTGTTATTTTATTGTTGGACTAATGTTCAACTTTTCTCAGARTGACCCACGACTTTAGCTTTAGTTTAAAACAGACCCATGTGAATGTGGGACAAGTTTAATCCATATGTGTAAATTACCAGTTTTTAATTAAACAAATCTTTTCACCAACAAGAAGAAAAGCGAAAACTGTTGCATATAAAACTAAAAACTCACCTGTGCTCCACAGATGCCACAATGAAGCCCTGAGAGGCCAGTTCTGCACATATAGCTGAATACAAAGTCCTGTGAAAACACAGTCACACCAAAAGTAGTTTGTTTTAGATCACAATAACAAATTAAAGGAATATTTTGTTGTTTTTTTTTAAATTGGTGTTCAGTGTAAAAAGGTACAAACTACCATTTTACCTGTTGTTGATTGCTCTTTAAAGAGTAACTTACCCCAAAATTAACTTTTTTTTAGCTGATAAACTGCCTAGAATGTGTCTAAAATGTTATATAG